TTATTGTAAAATAACATTAAATGAAGCTAAAAATGTTTTCAGTTGAGAATATAGAATCACAGAATATTTAAGGTTGAAAGGGACCTCTATAGATCATCTAGTCCAACCTTCCTGCTCAAGCAGGCACACCTACAGCATGTGGCACAGGGTGGCATCCAGGTGGGTTTTGAAGACCTCCAGAGAAGGAGACTCCACAACCCCCCTGGGCAGCCTGTTCCACTGCTCTGTCACCCTAACAGGAAAGATCCTCCTCACCTGGAGACAGAACTGCTTGTGCTCCAGCTTGTGGCCATTACCCCTCATCCTATCGCTGGCTACCAGTGAGAACAGCTTGTCCCCTTCCTCCCTGCATTCTCCCTTCCTGAACTTATACATATTAATCATATCCCCTCTGAGCCGCCTCTTCTCCAGAGAAAACAGGCCCAGCTCRCTCAGCCTCTCTTCATACGAGAGATGTTCCATTCCCTTAATCATCCTGGTTGCCCTTCTCTGGACCCTCTCCAGAAGCTCCACGTCCCTCYTATACYGGGGAGCCCAGAACTGMACRCAGTACTCCAGGTGCRGCCTCACCAGAGCTGAGTAGAGGGGCAGAATCACCTCCCTTGACCTGCTGGCAACACTCCTCCTGATGCAGGCCAGGATCCCATTGGCCTTCTTGGCCACGAGAGCACACTGCTGACTCATGGTTAACTTAGTGTCAACCAAGACTCCCAGGTCCCTTTCCGTGGAGCTGCTTTCCAGCAGGTCGACCCCTAATCTGTACTGGTGCCTGGGGTTATTCCTCCCCAGGTGCAGGACCCTACACTTGTCCTTATTGAAGCTCATGAGGTTCCTCTCCGCCCAACTCACCAGCCTGTCCAGGTCCCTCTGGATGGCAGCACAGCCCTCTGGAGTGTCAGCCACTCCACCCAGCTTGGTGTCATCTGCAAACTTGCTCAGGGTGCACTCCATAGTTAATGAATAGTTAATAGAATAGAATAGTTAATGAGGGATCCTGGTGGATTCATATTCTTGTCAGATGCATTTCTTTGCTGAATTTCTGGGACTACATACTAATGTGTCACAATATAGAGAACTGCCAGCCTCACAAGATGAACCAAATGAAGAAGGAAAATGACCTAGTTCTTCCACCCACAAAACAGATGGCTTACTCCAAGTGCAAGGCTGAGTCAAAGTAGTAAAGGCACCTATTTAATATTTACATTTCTGCATAACAAAGAGCAGAAGTCTTCTTTGTTGCAACAATTGTACTCTACAAAACTTGTATCAATTGCATCCCATAAAATGTCGTTTCTGCTTGCAAAATTGATTAGATTAGCATTCTTAGGTAAAACTTCTACCTTGACTGATTGTTCAGAAAATCCTGCCAGACACAAGAGACACCAGAGACAAGAGTTTATTTACACAGTAAAATAAAAGGTGCTAGTGTTACTAAAGCAGGAATTAATCTTCTCTAAAACACAAAATTTCTTATGCGGCTACAAAACTCTGGTAGTTACCTATTATCTGTATAGTAGGAGACATTTCTTGCTCCATAAAGTTCTTGCTTCACAAGTTAAAATGATATAGCTGACAGAACCTATTTCTGTACCAGAAAACCTAGAAACATTTAAAACTCAGTGAGAGTTTTATCCTTCCATAAAAACAGTACTTTGTTCTAAATTCACATTCCAATCACTGTTAAATTCCCTTTGGTCTTGGTAGTCCAAATTCAACAAGATTTTCCATCTATATCAAACTAAAACAAAATCTGACTGTTTTAAATGCTAAAATAGAAGTGTGATTTAATCTTGTATCATCTCCCACTATCTCATGTAGTTCTACAGCTACAACCACCTGTTGAAACTACGTGATATACTCCACATACAGTATTATTGCACATTGCTTCTCAATATTCTGCACCTTCTCAATAGTCTGTATTTTAATTGATTGCACCATCATATTGTTTCACTACAGATTAGTTGACTACAAGCAGTTTTGGGGAAAGAAGTCTGGAAAAGTGCTTCGCATATCAACAGCACACATTCATGTCAATGCTACACACAGCACTTATCTAAGAATAAGTGCAAGGCAACAGAGTCTCCTCCACTCTATACATCTGGTAAGTGTTGTGCCATTAACAGAAAAAACACCAGATTAGCATTTTATTGACAAGCACTTTGAGAAGGACAATTTTATACATTCCCATTACAGCTACAAAACACTTCTCAAAAATCAAATTAAGGGACCAGATAATTATCCTAACTTGAACTGCCATAATGATTTTAAGAACAGTTTTGTGTATGTTAACTAAATCAACATTTTGTAGATGTACAATACATTTTAGTTATAAACTTCACAGAAAAAAACACTTTGGAGCATATTACATGCCTACTGAATCAGTCCTATGATGTTATCTAGGATATTTCTGTTGTCTTTTTTTTTGTTGTTCTTATGAACACGGAAAACATTTTACCACTGCTGCATTTTCCTGCAAATGCTGTATTTTTCACTTTTTTCTTTCTACAGTAGCCTATTTTAAAATAGTATCAGCCTGTACTGCCTTACATGAAATTTGAGACCAAATTGATTTAACCAAAGGATAACAGAATACAGCTTCAAATTTCAGATATTAGCCTGAATAAATTATCATGAAGATGAAGAGTTTAAGTACTACAAATCAGACAGAAATAGCTCTCAGTTGCCCTGATAGAGCGTAATTAATTTTTAAAGAGCTTTTTTTTTTTTCCTCCTCCTCCTCCTCTTACAGGAGATAAAAGACAGTTAACACTGATATTAAACAAAAAACGAGAATTTTTTTTTTCTGTAGCTGAATTTAACATGTCAGCTATCTATCACTTCCTAGTGCCAATTCTGTATTTGATAGGAACAATTTTTCATTTTCAGACTGATAGTACTTGGTATAAAAACAGGGGCTGTAGCAATATCAAAAAAGACTAATGAATATATGCTGCATGGCTTATGGCAGCAACAAATTGCAGAGTTCCAATAGGAATGCCAATAGGAATAGTCAAATTTCAATCATTTCCTTGCCCAAAAAGAAATCGTCATCATTTTACCTTCAAATTAAAACTTTGGGATGTGTGTATTTATTAAATCACAGAAACAGAACCAAGAACCTTTGAGTGAAATGGAAGTTCTTCAGCTAAATGTAAAGATCAAGACATAACAAGCAAAATCCACTAAAACAATTTTAATTTTAAGATGCCTCACTAGTTAAACAAAAGCTATCATCCAGGTCTTCATTTACAAATCAAAATGAGTTATTGAGATGTAAAACAATGAAAGGTAACATGTTATACTGACAGTCTCTGGGCAAGGAGACTATGGATAGAAGTGCCAAAACATTTAATCACAAAAAACAGGGCCTGTGTAAGAAAAATGAAAAAACAAGCTTTACGCATAATTTAAAGTACTAAGCATTTCAAATGACCATCTTCATAAACAGCTGCACAAAAGTCTGGTATATAAGTTAATTATAAGGGCAGTGATTGATGGACTTAACAGGATTGCTGATGAATAGCTGTACTATATGATTAGCAAATATAATTCAGCTAGACAAACTGTCATTACACTTTCCCTCTGATTTTCAGTTTTTGGAATATGTCTTCGGTTTATCACTCTTAATTCATACCAGAGCTATGCAAAGGCTGTGCTAGTGGGGAAATTCAGAAATCTATTTCTAATCTAAAGTAAGTAAATGAGTTTGACTTACCTTGGTGAGTATCGAGTCAATGTGCAAAATTCAGTCCTAGACTGAATTTTGAATGAAATGAAAACACTTAGGCAATTTGCTCTTTTAGGCTAACTAGCATCTGAGAATAGTCAAGTGAAATGACATATTTTGAGTGAAGGAATTGAAAAATACCTTCCTAATTAGACACATTGTACAAGAGCTAGACACATTAGCTAGGACAGCAATGAAGACATTTCCCGTGATCAAGTRCTACATGGCAAATTGTTGGCTTACAACTGACCAAAAATGCCCAATATCATTTTCTTACATAAATGTACAGTAAAGGCAAGGCAMTTAAATGAAAGGTGAACAGCATGATCTGTGATGGATATGCTCCTTTCCTGGTTCAATCTAACTTTCACAGGTAGCCTTAYTCAGGTGTTAAACACCAGTGATATTATCTGTCCCTGGTAGTTGGCTCCCTGATCTTCCCAGACTCGGACTTTAACTAGCAATTAGTCCCGATGGCTGCATCCTGATGAGGAGATAAGGCTGATGGTGCATACACCAGACAAAAGTCCTTTGAAATGAAAGAATGACTTTAAGTCAATCATCTTATCCCATAAATACGAGGACAGCCCGAGAGCCCCTTGAGCTCTCCTGGCATGGCAGCGGGCTGCACACCAGGATCTCCCCTTGAGCAGGGATGCCTCTCAAGATTACTCCTCAAGGTTGAGAGATGCCTTTCCACAACAGATTTGTGGCAAGTGAATATAGCACGCTCTCTTTCTGAACTTGTAAACTTTACTTTGTAACTGTGCACAAAATCTCTTAGTCATAAACCGTTGACCAGGTCTGGGACTAGAATTGGATCCAGCTGCACCCAGACTCCTCTCAGAAGGAGAGTGGAAAGCAAGGGGTTCCAATCTGAACCTCGTGACCCAACGGGAGGGTATCCAAGATAATTGTGTATTATCTTAATCCTCCATGCAGTGAATAATTAGCYATAGAATACCTTGCCATAGAATCTCGTGAAATCATTGTCCATATCAATAAAACCTATTATTTCGTTCATATGAGTGGAGTGCATTTTGTCACTCACCCCCCCTACCACTCATTCCATGACATGATCCAAGGCTACTGGCTTTCTATGGAAATAACTGCATGACAGCTAAAGATAAATCAGGGTACTAAAGGACTGAATCAGGAAGACATGTCCTGATCATGGATTTTTTGATTAAAATTTTATTCATTTTGTAAAGTTCATATTATTTATTTCTGTAAAATCTTCTCTGTATGGAAAAAAATCATTGTTTATTTCTAAATAGAGATAAACAGTAACAGGCATATAATCATCCCCAATAATAGAAAAACACTTTTCTGCTAGGAAAAATATCAAAAGACTTGAGAATCTTTKCATTTCATCCCAAGTGTTGACCTCAAAGACACATACAGAGGCATAATCCCCAGAACTGAACCAGCCAACTAACCTTATTTACAGAAGAGCAGAAGCATAGAAGTTTTGATGGTCAATATACCATCAGAAAAATAGCATAAGGTTTTTGAGACCAACAAGTTCCTCCATCAAGGAAATCAGGAGTTATCTGGAGTGCCAAGTATACAAACTGATTATGAACATTTTTCTAGAAAATGCTTCTAAAGAAATTTGTTCTAGAATTGTTCCAGAAAAGTAAATCCTTTGGTTTTACAAACTGTCTCACAGACTTCAGTACTCCTTGAGATTATGGTAAATATTGACCAATGTCAGATCCTGCAGAGAGAATGGAAGATTTGACAGTTCACTGGAGGGACCCCTAAGAGGAAATGCCTTTAAGGTATTAAAGTAAAAATGCAGTTACTAGATTAACTAGAATTTATAATAGATATTTTTTCATTCAACTCCCTTTAATACCATTTGGTGACCTTAAATTGTTTTCTTGAGGCTTTGTTTTATTCCATCATTTGATTCCTCAGGTACAGATAAGAGCTATACATTAACGATGAGAAGCAAATCCAGGAGTTTTATTTACAGAATTACTTTAAGATACCATTGAAGGTATATAGAAAGAAGCAGAAGCAGTATATTTTTCCTGAATTTAGTTTCCTTACCATTCTGGAACATTTCACCTAAAAGAAGTTTTCTGGGATCCTTCCTCATGAAGCATTCTCCATGACTATAGGTTTTTTTTCTTAAAAAAAAAAAATAAAATAAAAAGTCATATTCTTAAATATTTGCCAAAGCAAGCTAGTTCAAAGGACCTTCCCTTCACTCATTCTCCTTGCTACAAAAGCATGTCATGATTTGTAAGCTATTTAACAATTTTCTGCCRCAGCTCCACTATCTAAATGTCAAAGGCTGTGCAGAGGGTTGAGCTCTGTAACCCTGCAGGACTGCCTGAGCTGGCCAGCCCTGCAGATGTGGTTCTTCGCATGTCTGCTCAGGACCTGGAAGGGCTCAGAAAAAGGGAACCGCTGTGACAGTTACGTGGATATCTTGGTGGGTAATAAAAGAGCCAATACCAATATATTTTGCTCTTTGGACAAGCACTGYCAACCCTCAAGAAAACCTTGAGGTTTAAACCTTGCATCACTTCCCCCCTTTTTTGGCATTAATCTACACAGTATGCTCAGAAATCCAGTGGGGAGAAGGGATTATTTTCTGAATAAGCTTCCTACACACTAATCTATGCTGTACTTCAACTATCCAGAAAATAGTGAGGGTAGAACTTGTAACCRTTTATTTTTAGTTTTTCATACAATTTACAAAACAAAACCAATCCAAGTGTACACATGGAGTGTTCATCTTCAAAATATTTGACAGTTTAGTGTCTAAAGTCCTTAATACTGAAATGCAACATCTCTATTCAAAATGACAGAATGATATTTGATTTTTCCCCCCCAGCTCTCCAGTAAATATATTTTGAGTGGCAAGATATTGTCAAGCACTCCTGCTAAAGTGCAATACTAAAACTGCAGTAGCCAGGCTGTAAATTTGCAAAGTGGAACTCTCAGTAAGCACAATTCATTTAAGTATTATATGAGAAGAGATTCACAGATGTTTTTCTTTTATTTTTCCATTTGTCATTGAGTTCAGCTACCTACTGAACAGCTGCATTTTAAATTGAGCTTGAACTCTCTGCATCAGAAACATTCACAGACATCAACTACACATTTACTTGTTGGCTCTTTTTTTCTTTAACCATTATACTGACTCAGTGCTAACCAAGGTTGTTTTTCATAAGCAAAGATAACAGAAAGAAAAAGGGAGACAACTGAAAGGTAGATTGGCTTTTGGCTATACCAATTCATTTAKTTATGAATTTTGTTCTTTTCAAGAAGATAGAATTACTTTGACTTTTGTGACTTACCCAATGATGATTAACAGGTTCCTCCTAGAAGACAATTTATAACAAAAAGTGTTTCTGAATTGCAAGACAGGGCATTGGCTTTAGGATTGTCCAAGCAGCTTAGTGCCTGCCACGTCAGTACCTTTACGGAAATGAAATATAGTGACAACTACACATTAGGGAAACAGCTAGTGTGGGATGTTCAGATAGAACTCGTTTCTTATGCATGAAGCTTGTGAGCAGTAAGAGAAAGAGTCAGTCAAATCTAATAAATTTTGCTGAAACACAGCATAGTGGTTTGCAGACTTACTCTCCTGGATCTAATTTTCTTTGAGGGGAAAGCAGGCAAGTCCTAAGAGTGAGATCAAGCACATGAAGTGTTTCGATACTCCAGCCAAAGTATCTTGACTATTTAGGAGGTTATTTGGTATTTAACTATTTCATTGGAGAGTCAGAAGGCAAGAAAAGACTTAGGTTACCCATAACTATGTATTAATTCTTACAGCATTAGACTTCTACTCCACCCATTTTAAAAATTGTTAAACTTGTTATTTTGGAAGAGTAATCTTTCAATAATGATGTTTATTAATGATCTGAGAAGCACTTCATGGAATAATCAGAAGCCTGCTTTCTAATTCAAATATTATATGCTCCCTCCCACAATCATTCAAGTGAATTTTAAAATCCCAAGGGAAATTTAGAACATAACCAATTGACTCTCTTGGGAAAGTCCTTTGAGTCTCATATACTCTCCTCAAAGTCCTACCGTCTTCTTTTCTGAATATGTTTGTAAAAAGACAATTTTCCACATGTTAATTCCAAGCTACGCGTTTAGCACTACCACTCAACATTTGCATTTCTTCTTATACTTATTTACATAAATTATTATTTCAAAAGCAGAAGTAATATCATATGACTTATGCAACCAGTCACATTCCAAATTATGAATATTTAGAGGAACTACTTTGAGCTAGACACTAAAGAGAAAGTTACACATAAAAATTAATGAATATTTGTGAATAACTCCTGAAGTGGTAAATTTCACAATGCATTTGCAAACAACATGCAAAAGGAGCTACAAAAGTTCATAAATATTAATTAGTACTCACTCTTGTCTGACRTGCACATGTTTTTCTCTGTTCAGTTCAATACAATTCTACAATTTAAGCAGATGGCAAAATTTAGTTCACAATACGCTTTGCAACTGGTATTCCTTTTCATATACAGCCACATTACAATGCACGCAAGAACAGTGTGTTGACAGAACATGTATATAAGTTCTTGCTACAGCAAAAGAGGTTAAACTATAACTTGTCAGTTCATCCTTAAACTTGTGATAGATTTGACTATTATTCTCAGGTCATCCAAATTATTGTGCATGCAGCCAAAAAAGTCGTAGAGACAAACTTTCAAATATTTTTAAATTGATTAAATGCTGTTTGATATATTAAGTTCTAATTAAGCTCAATGAAATATTATATCATATTATAAAATATGTTTGCCTTAAGTAGGTTACATAATCAAAATAAGCAAACTATCATAGGCAGGAAAGTATGGAAAAAAATCAAATGAAACTCTTAAGCCAATAAAAGGCGTTATATCCCATACAATTTTTTTCTAGTCTTATTTGCACAACCGTAAAATTCTTTAGCAAAACACGTCATGCTCTAAAAGCATAATAAAGGTAGCATCAGTAAATTGGTTGATATTAAAGGATCAAAATGACACACCAATATCATATTGTCTGCAGCTTTTCAAGTTCTGCAATTTAACTTTTTCAGTCTCAAAGAAAAAAAAGATTCTTAAAGTTCTGAGCCGTTTTTATGTAAAAAGTTAATCTAGAATTGTTTAAGTATGGTTAACATTATACATTTATGATTGTAGCAAATTAGTATGGGAAAAAATGATATTTTGGTACATCTTGCTATATTTATAGCAGAAAATAGGAGATAAACAAGGGATTAAAAATGTAAAGGTCACAGTGAACTACAAAAAGGATTAAAGCAAAACAGTATAATGCTTCATGCCCAATTCTGATTCACACCCACCTCCCCATTTTCATTCTCTGATAGCAATCTGATGTCCATAACAATAATAAACAGGCTGCCTAAAGTTCATAATTTGTTCCTGTAAACAAAAAGTAGCCGATCTGAACTCAGTACAATTTCACTGATGTAGAATAAATTTTATAAGGAGAATAATCATGGCTGAACAGCCTTTTGCTATGGCAGGCTATTACTGCAAAAGATTCTATATGGCTGCTTATCTCAGAAGTTATTATGTTCCTTACACTTGTATTGTCAGTTGCCTAAGTTGTCATGTTTATAGAAAGTACTAAACGCAAGATAAAGTATTTTGGCATAAAAAGAATATAGCTGAAGACCACTATTTAAATCAGAGCTGAATTTACCCTGAAGATCATGACTGACATTTGACCTACCACTTACACTAGTTAAAAACTACCAAGAAAGATAAGAACATAAGAACAACACAGCCGGACAGGAACTTTACAATCTGTTAACATGTGGATTTAGGCCAGAAGGGTTCCTTTCTGGCAGAAATTTTTTGTTAAAATAATATCCAGGCTACTTATAACCGCTTACCACCACTCAGCATAAAAAAGAGAGAGCCCAGAGAAGTTGCCTACTCACAACTAAGAATATCAACCTTTAAATTTGAAATTTAATGTTACCTTTCTTCAGGAGCCTCATCCATAACACTGCTACATAATACACTTGTACGGCAGATGTACAGAGCACGACTTGTAGCATCACTGAGTCTTAGGAGCCGCTACGCTGACACATTTCCTATGCACAAGCTTCATTACAGAAAAAGGAGAAATAATGTTCTTGGACTTTCCCCCAGAAAGAAGGATGACAAGGTGGAAAAAGACAACTCGAAGACAGCTCAATTTCTGACACAGAAAGACACCAACAAGGAAGGATCAATCTCACTAGAAGTGAATTTTCTTTTTCCCAGGCTCAGCGTTTGCATGATAGAGAAGTCAGAAATGGTATGTGAAATTAACAGTCTGCTTACTAACATGTTCTGGACTCGTGCTAGGAAAGCAAGCTAAAATATTTSTCTTGTTGCAAGTAGGAAAGTTGGCCACTGGCAGGTATTTAGTTTGACSCCAACTTAGGAATTCACTTAGTGCAGAGATGAAGGAGCAAAAGCCATTTCAACAATTCAGACAGACACTGGACGTGCACTTTCTAAGTATTTAATACCACACCTGCTACTCCACCAAGAAGAATTCAACTTTGAGATTTACTTGCAAATTACATTATCTCTAAGTTAGACTATAATATAGCCACCTAATGCAATCTAGCTTCCCAGACAGAGGAAGTCTTAATGCTTAGGCCCTAAATGCTAATGGCATTTTCCTTCCATCTCCCTAGCTGTCTCTAGACTTATGTGCATTGTCCCATTCCTTCAAACAGAGGAGTACTCCCAGCTCTCCACTCCCTATGTCAGAAAAGGAAAAGTTTATCACTTCAGTCTCACCAATAAATATCAGGAGCTAAAAAAACACATGCATTTTTCTTCAGTGAAGATCTACCCCACTTTTACAGATAATGAAAGCTGGCCTGCGGGACATCTATCCCTGGGATGAAAATCTAGGAAACTACCAACTTAAGACAAACAATGATCAGTTTGCTTCTGAACTGAGCTTTCCTTATAATTAAAATACAAATGTATAGTACCWTTAATTTTGAATTATTGGTTCAAAGTGATTTGTTCCACCTGTGAGCTTTCAACTGAATGTCTAGACAGCTTAGAGGTACTTGTAGAATCTTGAGTAAAACCAGTTTTTGTTAAAAGAGGTTGCTGTRGCTAAATGAGTGCATGTGTTCCCCCCTATTAATTTGAGATTTCTGTGCTTTTCCATAACCTCTCGAAAACATTACTGTAGAGCACTTGCCAGGCATACAGTAACTTCAGTCAAGGTCACTTCAAATCTTCTAAGTAGCTGGTCAAATAATGTGTGGTTTTCCTGACAAAGGGTAATACTTCTACTTCTCATGCATGGCACTTAAAACTTTTGAAAAATTCACAAGTTCATTTTGCTTTTGTGAGGGAAGAACAGTGTCCTCAAGAATTCTGCAAACTCCTGTTTTTATAAAAAGCCTTATCTCAGCAGAAAACAAATTGGAACCAGGGTGTTCTGAATTCTCCGCTCCTTGTTAATACGTGCTTGAAACTTATTGACTATGAATGTATAAACACTAAGGACTATTTTTTTATATATATATATATATATATACACACACACACACACACTATAAGGACTATAAATACCAAGGTATTTAGGGAAAATACCACCTGGACACCAAAATGAGCTGAAGAGGAAGTAGCAAAATGGTATTTTTACTTCTTCTGCCCACAGTATTTCTGATAGTGTGAAGAAAATCAGTGACTTTCAAGACAAGGACATACACATTAAGCATGTCCTAGTCTCTAGCAGTCCTGCTTTCCAACTATAATGGCAACATGACAACCACATAGAAATGCTGAGAGACTTGGTGTTTTAGCTATGTTGGCTCTGCACTGGTACTCGCAGAGGAAAGCAGTAAGCTTCTGTTCATCACTGAACCCAGTGTGAGCATAWATAACTCAAATATATAGACAAATACATTTTCAATGAGTAAGATGCTCCTGCAAAATCACTCTTTCCAGAAGAATTTCATTTTGTTATTGATTTTGTATGCACAGAATGAACATGATTATGAAATTTTATGATGGTATTAGATCTGAAGATACAGTATGTGGTTTCTCTATACATTATCAGTAGCAGGGCCATAAAAAGGATGCATTTGTCCTGAGAATATGTATTTTTATTTGTAGTTCAGTTGAATTAAAGCATTGTAATATATCAACCTRTAGAGTCACTGAAGTAAAGCAAGGTTTACAAACACATGTCCTAAGTTTGTAGGTCCAGCTAGGTCAGATTAGAAAACTAATAAAAAATAGAGTTAAAAATATTAATAGATTAAGCATTATATTTATTTTGCTTTCTAACATCAAGAATGGCTGTGAAGGAATGACAGATAAACAATAAAACTTACATAATTATTGATCAAAAACAGCTGTATTTAATAACATCTATAACGATAGCT